GATAAGCCCTCCAGCCATTATAGAGTAAAAGTGCGTAATAGCACTAACTCAAGAAGAAGAAGAATCAAGAATATAATTCATTTTCCAGAAATCATTTCATTTTATCAGGTGAAACATTTTAGATAACGGGGATGATAACACGCGATTGTTTTTATCATCAATTTCAGTTAAGAGATAACCTAGAAGTCGACAAGTCTTGCTATTCTCTAAGTTCCTCCTCTAATCAGTAATTTAAACACCACTTTTTTTTCGTGATTTTCTTGTATTTTGTATACTGCAAATTATTTTTGGTGGGGATGTACTTACTTTCTTATGTTTTCATTTTAACGGAAGTAGACAACCCAAAGGAAAAATATTGCGACGGATATACAATTATTTTCATACACATTTTTTAGTATTTCACACATTTCTTGAACTTTTATCCAAATTAAAGCATAATTATTACATCAATTGACACCACATAAAATGTCATATCACAATAAAATGATAAAAATATTTTCTCAAATTTTGACTATAGGTAAATAAAGTTTAGATATTTCACCTACTATCGCCCAATCACAGATGTCGCTGTGGTAAGAATTTAGAGACACCCAAGCTGATTGAAACCAGGTCTGAGTAGGATGATGTATCATTATCATTTGTAAAACTGTGGTATGAATTTAATATCAATTATATATCAAAACAATAATAAAGAGTAAAAGTGCGCAATAGCACTAACTCAAACCACAACCACAACAACAATAACATCCTAGTATAAAATCAGATATGTTTCGTTTCATACGTCACAGAAAAAAATAACTTTCAAATAAGAAGTTTCATTAATATTTCCAAAAGAAATCCATTCATTTTAAACATTTTTGTAATACAGTTAACTTCAAAAATTTCAAAACTTAAATTAAATTACAAATTGATTGCCAGATTTTAAAGTGCTTAGAACAACGAATCTTTTCAAAAATGGACACTCCTCGAAAAGATATTCCATGCGCTGCTTCAGGTTTGAAGGTCTGTAAAAGTGGCATGTCCTTTGATATTATGTTTTCATCGAAATCAAAGCGCCATGCGAACCGTCCTCAACTGTTTTCTGCACGTGAAAGAAAAACTCCAGTGTATGGGTCTGATGAATCTGCTGGTAAGAGTCAGAATTTCATTACTCATAAGTTTTCCTAACTATCGAAAAAGATTTAAACTAAAATTATTTTAACCGAACAGTTAATCGCAAGCAATCCAAAGGGGATCTTTTATGTGGATCTGCAAAAGAATGTCAAAATCAGGAAATTGGTAAAATTATATCAAGTTTATTTAAAGTTCTTAGCAATTTTAATATACTTTCTATATGATTTGGCAAACAGCATGTGGCAAACACTACGGTGAAGGAACCTCTTCTAAATATGGGCATGATTATCGTTTTCTAACTTTGGGTAACTCTCGTAGCACTTAGTAATCAAATAATTATTATATACATATTGTTTTCGGCAGATGCATCCAAGAGTGATAAGGGAAAAGAACGTGGCAGCGCCGAGGTGTCTGATAAAAAGCTAGGTCGTGAGTTCCTATCACCTCAAATGGTGAGAAATATATATAATAAACCTAATGCTTAACTAAGAATTATTTTATGTTAAAGGAATAAATCCGATCAAGATTTAAATAAAAAATTGAGCGTTCCATCAAGAAAAAAGGCTAAGCAGGTAACTCCAAAACTTTCCAATAACCAATTGATCAACGTCGTTAATAACTTTTACAGATAATGTGCAAAACGCTCAAGAAGAAATTCAAAAATATAGATGTTGTAGGAATCAAATCCATTTAGAGGACTTTGCAAAAGAAACTATTCTATTTTTTTAATACAAATTTTGTTATTTTAAAAAAATTTATTTGTGTACCAAAATTAAATACAATTTGAAATACTATAAAGTTTAGTTGGAATTGGGACCATAAAATCTTATATTTTTAAATAAAAAAATGTCTTTATTTATTGAATATAAATTTAAAACAAATAATTAAGGATGGGGAAGTTTTTCAGCGACGTTTTAATAGAGTATGTAGCCACCTTTCAACTGAATTCGCTTTGTTTATTATTTTCCCAATTTTTTACGGAACGTTTTCAATTAAAATTTTCAATTAAGATATCTCAAAATATTTTATTACAGTTTTTCTTTGTGATTAAAGATCAATGATTAAACCACAAACCAATGTTTCAATTTAAATACAAATATAAACATTGCATAGTGTATCTGGAAAATATAGTAAAAAAAAATAATTAAACCTATTTCGATATTATTATTATTAGTCGAATTCTATTAAAAAAAAAAAATATTTATATAGAATCTCCATTATTGTCTGTCAGATGCTTTATGTCGTAATTCGCTATATATTTTTACAGTTCCTTTGAATATAGTACAGCGCCATATAAGCTTCGGTCTCCCTCGTCACCTATTTCCCTGCGGATTCCTGTTTGTTATAAGGTATTAACGTTACAGGATCCAAATCGTAAGCGTGGGTATTCAATGGGTCGTTATTATTGGATCAGTCCGATTTCTATCGAGTTCCATTGCAGTAGCTGATTGTTCTAAGGCAACCTAAGTTTGGTGATACGGCTGCTATATTTGAAATAAACGTTTTATTAATATACGTTCTGGAAACTTGCCACACTCCAATGTCGCTAAGGCCATTTCCTGCCATATGTGGATGTTATGGGACGGATATCCAACTGAACGCTTAATCGCGAGAGTCTCATATGAGAAAACAGGGACATTCCTTTATCTAAAAACTACAACAACATGTTAGCATGTACAAAAGGTTTCCTCACTCAAAAAGGAGCCAGTACAAGAATTGAGCTTAAACTTCCACCTAGTGTAGTAGTGTAGGAGTGTCCTAAGGTAGGCATTTAGCTAATTTGAGATGCGATAAAAGCTTGACGATCGCATGAAGACGAGACAGTCGTGAGTGAAACAAATTTGATCGGCGGGGGCCCGGGGAAGTGGGATGTTTGCTAGTAATGGGTTTAGCTGCAGAGGGCTACAAAGAGAAAATCGCAGTACATAACGGAACCGACTCCAACTTGATAGAATCTATTGGAGAGGACCGTATGGACAACACTGTAGAGTGTTAGAAGAGTTTGTGGATCAAACTTTCGAACCAGACGGTGTTAAAAGCTGTTTCAATACCAAGAGTTACTGCCACGGAAAGGTGCTTATTGAAAACACCAACGCATTTTGGAGATGATGCATGTATCAGAAAAACTTCCTGAAAGTGAAGCAATCTTACTGGGTACAGCATGGTCACTAACTGGATATAGGATGGTGCAGAATGGTTACGGGATGTAACCATTCTATAGCTTAAGTAAATTTAATTACTTGTAGCTGAATTAATTACTTAGATAGAAGAGAAGAAACAGAAATCGCTGAACTACAGTTTTCATAACTGAAATTTTCTTAAAAGCCTAAAATGCTCGATTGTATAAATCTAAACAACAGTGTATTGTATATTCAAGTGATTTCTAAGGCAAGGTTGACACCTCAAAGCACATGCTGAAAGGCTGACCAGTTTTAAAGAAACACCTCATTCAAATCGGTGAATTGAATTCAACACTTCAACTTATATGAAAAGTCATACTCGTTCGAATACTTAAAGTCCATCAAAGGGGCACAATATATCCTTAGGTCGCAGTGCTAAATTCCCTAACATGATTATAGTAAAAAATTTACTTAGCATTTCTGAAAGACATTGACATATTTTAATATCCTTTTAAAACGCACTTAGATAAAAATAATAATACTACATTACTTAAGTCTAAGAAAGCATATTATCTATTTGACTAAACATTTATTTTCAAAACACATCTTTTTGAAATATTTTAAAAATGTTCATAATAGCTGCACATAATAGTTCCTTGCAGTTCCTTCTCGATAATTGGCTACCATAAGCAAAGCCATTAGTTTACTTCAAGTCTGGAAATGTGCAAATAATCTTCAGAGTCGCTTTATTTTCGCTTTTTTATGTAATGAGAATTTAAGTGTGCGTTGGCACTTAGTCTGTTTGCCCATTTACGCTGCATTTCGTTTATTTATGCAGTAAAGTAGTGAAAACCACGTAAAGTTGCAATTAAGGTGTGTTCATTTAATTTCGAGGAGTAGATACGAATTTGCGTTTAACGTGGGTTACTTGCGGTAATGCAAGTTCCCAGATATTTACTGAAAGTGCTCAATAAATATGCAACAACTAATGTAATATAAACATCAATTAAATTTCATTTCTGTGGATTTCTACTACAGACTAAGAGTCAGCAATAATAAACATGAGGGGTAAAACGGAATTTCGTAATAACTCAATTTATAAACGCAATTATTTTATTGTACTTTTTGTATCAGAAAGGTAAGAAATTATAAACATTCGTTAAAATATACACATCGTAATGCAGGATATAAAGGAAACCCCACAAAATATGTATATTCATCATTAGCTTGTCAAGACGAATCAATCTTGATATGTCTACAATAATGTTTGTTGATATGAATATGAATAGAATAGCATGTTAAATATGTAAAATAATCCATAGTTTTGATCTCCTTCAATTATTATTAATACCTTCAATTATTAAAGACATGTTCCTTAACTGAAAGGGAGCTCCATTAATCCAAGTAAAAATATAAATTAAAAACCAATAATTCTTCTTATTTGTTTGAATAATCTAAAAAAAAACAAATTGAGTGTGGTATTCAAGTGAAACGCAACATATATACCATTTGATCAAAAAAGAACGAAAAGTTAAAAAAAACACAAAATTTTAATTTTTAATAATTTTCTTTATTATCGCCTTTAAAGTACTCTACTCCTACGGCAATACATGCATGCCAACGCTTGATCCAATTTTCCATACAAGTTTTATAGGCCGCCAAAGGTATGGCGTTTAGTTCACGCAGCGAATTCTCTCTGAGTAGTTCTTTATAGCCCCTTGTCAGTAAGTTATTATTATTACCTGTAGCTGTTTAATTTAAGGATTTAAATAATTACTGAAATAATATCAGTGTCTGTTTCCAATACAGAGTTGGATTTAAACTAATGGAATAGGTTCTGTGCATTACCTAGAAAACTCAACAGAAAATACAACAGAACAGAAGTTCATAAAATATGTTACTTTAGCTTAGATAGACAATTCAAAAATCAAGTACTCACGCTCTATACATATGCCTTTCTCTTGTTAAGCGTGTCGTGCTGTACGGCGTAGAATCTTAGAATCTTGGACCAAAACCAACAATGATGAGAAATTATTAAAAAATTTATTGACTCATTTGCGTTAGTAATAATTATCTAATTATTTGGAACTATGAGCTGTATGAACTGCACCGAAACACTGACATAGTTAAGGGCATAAAAATTTAGTGATACCATTGACTTGTGCATATTGTTCATGGATAAAAATAGTCTAGCTAAAAAGATGTTTGATTATGTATTCTTTAGTGGCAAAATCGGAAAACAATGTCTTCATCTTCGGCGGAACACATAGGTGACCAACGATATGAAGGCACTCGGTATTCCTACTGGCGACAGCGAGCTGCTGATCGGGCTAACTACAACTATCGTCTGTAATGACCAACTAAGTAAGCGAAAAGTCAATTTATATTCTCTATTGCATTGTTTATTGTTGGATCCCTCGAATTTAATTTATTGCTATCAAGACGAAATAAAATCATTAAACTTGAAAAGTGATCAATATAATTAATGTAGTCACACATTAAACCGTTTATTGAAGGCACAAGGTTTTGATATCTTATTAATACTCATTGTAATATTTAAGTTAGTTTTCAACCTTTAAGATTCACTCGAAATCTCTAATTTAAATTAAATTTTGTTTGAAAATTAAAATCAGCAGTATCTAGATATTATCCATAATAATCGTATTTTATTACTTTTAATTATTATTTTTCTTCTTAATTCTTCTTAAGAGTAATCAATATTGTGTTTAGCAGTGAACAAAGTTAGTGTCAAACAAATTGAGAATAAAAGAATGAGATTGTTGTCTTCAAGTTCATTTGAAATAAATTATAAAAATTTACATTTCAATAACTTTGATGAAAATTTCTTCCTGAGGGTATTTAATACTCTGTCATTTTTAATTACAAAACTTTGCAATCTTCAGTGCATTTAACTTTAAAATGAAATTTACTTTTCGCATAACTTCAAAATAGTAATAGTAAATCTTAAAAAGATATAAAACAAGGCGCAGAAAGCAACACATAATTCTTATTCAACAATTCTGAGCTGTTGTTATTTGAAAGTGAGTTGTAGCAAAAGTTTTCAGAATAATTTTGATAGCAAATAGTTTAAACTCACCAGTACATCAGTACGTCAAAAGATTCTTTAAAGTTCATTTTAAATTTATTTAAAGACAAGAGACCAAGACCAACACTGATGCTTCTCATTTAGTTTCGGTTAAAAACTAAAAAGCTAGAGAAATATCCTTTGAGTTAATGACGTACACTACTACTTACTTCCCCTATTTACTTTGCATTTATTTTGTAAATATATTAGACGGAAACTAGCACTAAAACTGGAAAGTACAAATAACTTTGGTTGTAATGGAACAAATTTAGTTTGTGCAACTTACAAAACTTTTAAGTAGAATTGCAAACTTCATTCAGAATTAAAGTTAAAATATGTGTTTTTTAGTGACGAAGTTTCATTCACGCAAAATGTTTTTAAAGTTGCGTGTTTTGTCAATGATTTCAATGCAAAATACAGGACTCTCTCTTTGGTTGCCTGACTTTAGCCCAGTCAAAAGTTTTCCTAACAAAATGTGTAAAACAATCCGAAATGCATTACCAAATTAATTATCGATTTGCTGAAATTTTTTAGAAAAGTATTGCAAGTTGTCCAATTGGTACGTTAAATTATTTATAAGAGTATTTACCTACATACTGTAGTCA